TGTCTAGCCCCCCAAGACCAAATCCTCGAAGGTCCCAGCCCCAGCTCCAGATGCTGTTGAGGACGTTAAGAAAGATGTTCCCAAAAATCCCCTGTTCATAGCTCGTCCCAAAAATTTCCGAATCGGTGCGTGGCAAACTGAGTTTCCTTCCGCTCGGTTCGTTGATGTTCCCTTACTTTAGGCAATGCTGTTCAGCACAAGCGCGATCTTACTCATTTCGTCAAGTGGCCCAAATATGTTCAACTGCAGAGGAAGAAGATGATCCTAAAGCAACGGATGAAGATCCCTCCAACTATTGCGCAGTTCAGCCATACACTCGACAAGAACACTGCCACCCAATTGTTCAGATTTTTGAACAAGTACCGTCCTGAGAGCAAGCAGGAGAAAAAAGCCCGTTTGAATGCTATCGCTACTGCAACCGCAGAGTCAGGGGAAACCCAGGACAAGGTACATTTCTTTTTACTTGTTGTCGATCAATCACTGATCACATGCACTGTTACAGCGAACCCCAAAGCCTTTGTTCGTCAAGTATGGTCTCAAACACGTCGTCGCTCTCATTGAGGCCAAGCAGGCGAACTTGGTCGTCCTTCCACATGACGTTGATCCTATTGAACTTGTTCTCTACATTCCTACTCTGTGTCGTAAGATGGGCGTTCCGTATGTTATTGTTAAGGGAAAATCTCGACTTGGGACGGTCGTGCACAAGAAGACAGCTACTATCCTTGCCATTCAAGACGTGAAGAGTGAGGACGAACGGGAACTTGCTACACTTGTCGCTGCCGCCAAGGCTAACTTGTGAGTTTGGATCCCATTGCCCTGCAAGAGAATCCATCTGATGTGACTTTCCGTTAGCACTGACAAATACGAGGAGCAGCGACGTCATTGGGGCGGAGGTATCCGCGGTAGAAAATCGGCAGCCAGGCTCATCAAGCGCTCCAAGGAAACTGGCATCACCATTGCCAGCCCGTATTCGCTGTGATTGTTCTACCTCGTCATTTATCGGTGGTTCTTGGAGTGCAAGGTGGTACATGAACATTTATGTCCAATGGCGTCGACAGGATGCTATCATGCCTCCATGTCTGCTGTTCTTTTCTTCGTGCCCTCATTCCCTAGTATTGTTTAGTGCCCCCTGTAGCCAAGAACTGCGCTACTGGGAATTTGAATCTATGGCTGAGCTGGCTGCAGGAATATTGAAAAGTGTGCCCGCAGAATTGCAGCTGCTTTGTGGTACAATTTGGGAAGCTAGGCTTTGAACTTCTGAAAAGGGCGCATAATGAATCGAGGCGGAGGGCTGACGACATTCCTAAATGGTTTCAGAATCATTGCTTCAGAGTGGAGCTTGTAGGATTCGAGGACAAACTGCTGACCTCAGCCGTGCGGGGTATATTGTGACAGTTCGTAACATCCGTCGCGGAAATCCGCCACGGACCATAACGTGGCCAATCTGGAGGAATGCTGCCCACACCCCTCCCGCAAGGATGATCGCATAGGGATTACCATTGAATCTGGCAAGTACGAATGATCCCGAGAAGCCGAATATTGCAACCGTAACGTTCTGACGTCAAGACCAAATATTTCTCGTTTTCTCTAATTTACATTTTGTGCACACCCACTTCCCACAGCTGTGCCGTACTCGCGACTGACTTGGCCAAAGGGACATCATGGACAATGAAGACTTTCGTGCTTCCTTGGATTCGTCCCGTCACCCTGCAGTTGTTTGTCACTTATGAACCATAGCACAACCACGGTGCAATGTAATGTTTACCCAACACATAGTTTTCTGTCAGGACTTGCATCAACACCTGGACGTCCTTTTTGCCCGTATGGTATGTGGTCCAAGACACTAGTTTCATTTGGTCTGAACTTATGTACAAGATCAACGCTGTGCTAAGAAGTGAGCAAGATAGGATCATGCAGCCATGTCACCACTGACGGGTGGATGGAGACCTAAGTTTGAAGAGACTCTCCTGGGGGAGAATCCGAAACGTCTGCCCGTGCAATACCACAGGATCACGTTCAGGGCTCCCCACGAAGAAAAAATGGAATAAGGCCAGATCCACCCACTGGGAATTGAGTGGCGGCCAGGTGACACCACGAACTGGCGGATTGCATAATGAGGTACAATGACGATGAGATACGCTGGAATAAGAGTGATGAGTTTGAGGGTATGGTTGGGTGACAGTTTGTACCCACCAATAGGATACCATCCCATGGCGATAGCATCCCGTTTCAAGTCACGATCAGCGTCAAAAGATGCTTGACGTAGCCACTTGTACACTACTGTTCCGTATGTGAAAATGGTTACTGGGACGGCAAGCCATATCCAGATATATTCGCCTGCTATTAATCCAGAGTTCAAAATCACCGTTTGCAGGCGCTAGATTTTCCTACCAATTCGCATGGTTCTGTGATGCTTCGAGATCCAGCACCACATACTGGAATGAAGGGTTAGATCATCTATGAATATCATAGGTAAATCTCACCCTGTATTTCCATAAAATGGCCGAATGATGGAAGAGGGGATTGTGACAATTAATGTGATGAATATGGTTATGAAGCAAACAGATGACGCTGCGAAAATCTTCGCTCCTCTCTTTCCAAGCCATTCCGAGTGGAGGACTTGAAGGTAGGTCAACACTGCAATTGCAATGCTGTACAACGCTAGTGACCAGGAGTAGAATTGGAAGATCGGAGTTCGAAGCAAGAGTTGACTACGTACCAACACCCTGATTCCCAATATGTTTCAGCACCGCTTGCGTGGTACAATATGGACCCTCAGTGACTTCACCGGCGAGCGCCCATTTGATCGACAAAATATTCGATATCCCATGACTATAGCAAGTTAAACGAGGGTCAGCCACTGATGGGTTACCGTTCTCGCACTGATGTAGTGGAACTTCCATTGTGTCCATGAAAATAGCGCAAAGGAACAATACAGATATGGGCTGAAGCCGTTCAGAGCCAGATGAGTCATATCCGGACATACGTCGACGATGGTACGCTTGTCTCTGTTGGGGTTCGTGGACAAACTGTTGTTTTGAGTATCCCAACGGATGCGTGCTGAATGCTCACCAGAGAGTACGTGAAAAGGGAGGACGCAAGGACAAAGGCGACTGCGTCAATTTCGGAGATAAGCTTCAAAGGATGTTATACAATCTCGCAAAAATCAGGAAAAACTCACCAGAAGGCCAGCACGGAGGTGAAAGTTGTTTCTAAGGGGCTGATCAAATTCGCTGTTAGTAGTGTTGCCTGAACATGTGCTAGCCATGGTCTAAGTATGCTGGAGAGGGTTAGCGGAGGGATTTTTGCATACTTGTACGAACTCGGAAAGACGGGTCAGATGGCTCGCCTCTCGATTTCCAGAACCTGCATTAGGCGAGAAGCGGCGGTCTCTCAATCCCCCAGCCGCCACCCAGCAGGCGTGACTGTACTAGAAAGCGCCAAAATTAACGTCGATCAGCCACACCTCGCCACGAAAACGTCCCAATGATGGCACCAACACCCACCCTGACTTTAATCAGACGTGCACGCGCGATTTAGAGCATCTAATCAGACGGTATGAGCACTTAGTGAAAACGGCCGGAAACCGAGCTGGTCCCGGCCTATGGATTGACGCGCGCGGGCATCGTGCGACCTGTCTTGGTAATATACAAAGAGATACGACGATGCCAAAAGGATTGGTCAACAATGACAAATCGAGAAAACAGATACAAATACAGATACATAGTATCGGGGTGGTGAAAAAGGGGAGGAGGTGGGTGGACGCAAAAAACAGAAGAATAAACGCTAGAAGCAGAAACGAGGCAGCACGAGTGCTGCAGTAAGACTCCGCAAGGAGTAAGCACAAGTGAGATGAACTCACTAGGATGCACAGCGCGACAAAAGATTGAGGGGAAACTTCAATGCAGACAACTTGTCTGAAGCGCACATGTAAGTTTCCGGCCCCGTTGCAACCAAGTGAGGACTTACCAGTCCGATGGAGCAAACGCGAAGGCAGCGCTGAGGGAGCGGGGAGAAGGGACAACACACGTGAAAATCACGTGAAGACAATAAACGCGAAGACTAGTGAACACCCGCAAGGTCCCATCAGCGCTGCAAAAACGCAGGACCATGCGGCACCATTCAGCGCTAGATACCATCGTGATTAGTCGTGTGAAATAAGGATATTAAACCATGACTAATCAGACGGTATGAGCACTTAGTGAAAACGGCCGGAAACCGAGCTGGTCCCGGCCTATGGATTGACGCGCGCGGGCATCGTGCGACCTGTAACGTCGATTCGATAACTAGGATGGCGGAGGGGCGGCTGGTGGTGTAATTAGAGATGACTGATTAGCATGATGCCCATCAAATGCGGATACTCCGGCCAGCGTGCCTTGCAGCAGAATTGGATTCTGACGAAGATAAATGTGAAAGGCTTCTGAACTCCAGCGACCAATACGCTGAATATTCATCAAAGGAGTGCCGGCCAAGGCCAGAGCAGTTGCACCTCCAGACCTCAGGGAGTGGCCAGCAAACTCTTTTCCCGGAAAAAGATTGCGCAATTTGTCAATATACCAAGAACGAGTGGGTGCGCGACCCGAAGAACGCAACCATAGCTCTGGCAGGTGGGGGAAGTGAGAATCCCGCAAAGACAGATACCGTTTGAAAATGGAAAGAGGGTCTAGTTCATTAAGTCGGCGCTCCAGGACGATAGTGGAACCTTCAAATAGTCAATCTGCTTTATGCATCGGCAAGGTAAAGGACACATGTGGGCGAGGTTCTGATCTGACACCCGACTGATACATTTTCGGTAATCACGCAAGGCCGTGTTGTCAGGCTCCACTAACTCCCCCAGGCGCATCAAACAATGCCAACCCGTGAAGGTAATGGTCAGAAAAAGGAGGTCGTCATGAGAGGGAGGATCAGGCTGGGCCGCTAAGATAGTGTGCAAATCCTCCTCGGCAAGGGGACGTTTCCTAGAAACCGGTGACCCCAGTCGTTTGGAGCATCCGATCAGGATGCGGTCAATTAATCCAGAGTTGCGAAAATCACGGACTTCTGGCCAAAATGGTTCCAGTTCTGCGCAGATTGTCAGGGATGCGTCCGTGTCAGGGACTCGTCCGGGGTCGAGGGGGTCCGGGTATAGCGTCCGGGACCGAGAGCCTGGCGGGGGGTGGATCAGGCGTGCGTACTGACAGGCCCGATATGGGACAGTAGTCCCTGGCCACTTAGACTGAAGTGGAAAGTTGTTATTATTATTAAAGGAGAAATATTGTACTACTTACCTGAAGTGGAAAGTTGAGAAGAAGGCTACTTCTTCGGTTCCCACTTCAGGTTTGTTTATATACATGCGGCTTGGATCACATGACGGATGCCACATCACCCTCGCACACAGCCGTAACCACCCGGGTGTCTCCGTGGGAGATACCGAGGGTATCCGGTGCAGGCGCGCATGCTGGGCACAGCGGGAAGTCGCCTGAGGTGCCCGGGCCGGGTGCATGGTGGGCGCGCTGCAGATGGGTCAGTTGTACATTGATACAGAGAAAGTCGTCCATGTAGAATAAAGGGAGAATAAAGGAGAAGTAAGATAAGGAGAAACTGAGGAGGGGAGGATGAGGGGGGAAGAAGGGAAAGGGGGAGGAGGTAAGGAAGGGTGGACTGGCGGGGTACCGGGTCAGGTTGGGCCGGGTGGAGCCGGGTCAGGCGGGTGTGCCCTTGTCAGGGACTGACCCGGGGTCGAGAGCGCCCGGGTGTATCGCCCGAGGCTGAGGGTCCGGTAGGTATGACGCGGGCACGCGTAGCAACGGGCCCGAAGCAGACAAGGGTCCCTGGCCACTAAGACTAAAGTGGGAAATGTGTTATTGTCATTATCAAGGGAAGTGTAAGCTACTTGCCTAAAGTGGGAAATGTGAGAAGAAGGTTGCTTCTCAGTTCCCACTTAGGCTGTGTTTATATACATGTGGTTGAAGGCCACGTGGGAAGCACCACGTCATCCGAGCACACAGCTACCTCCGTCTGGGTACCTCCGTAAGAGGTCCTAGGAGCGTCCGGTGTGCGGGGGGTCGTCCGGTGTGTCCGGGTTCGGGCGCGTTACTGTCAGGGGACGGACCCCGGGTCCCCATGACCCCTCTCTACAGTCCACAGTCTAGCCTGTAAACACAGCCCATCTCAGGGCATAACTACTGTGGGTAAGAAAGTGTATAGATAAATGAAGAGTAGGCTACACTTGCCTACTGTGGGTAAGAAAGTGAGAAGAAGGTTAACTTCTCACTTTCCCACAGTGGCCCCAATATGGCGAAAACTTCCGGGGATACCCGGAAGTCACATGAGGTGGGATCCGGGGTCGGATCATGCGGCGTGCGGCGCAGGAAGTGCGCGGGAAGTGGAGCGGGTCCGGACGCGGGTCCGGGTCCGGGCTAAGTCAGGGTATGTGCCCTGACAGTTACACTGCAGCCGGGTCAATGGTACATTGATAC